GGGGAGATACGTCAAGCGCCTCGGACTCTTCCCTCAGACGCTTCTCTTCAGATCGACCCCCAGACAAGTCTAGTTCGATCACAGGGGTGGGGACTACAGAAGAAGGCCCAGAGTTACCCTGAGCCTCAGTCCATGGCACTGTAGGCGTCACCGGTTCAGTCCCCACCACGGTCTTGAGGGCGTGAGCACGGCCCTTGGACTTGCACTTCACACTACCAGTAAATCCGCACACCATTGCTGCAAAATAAACAAGCATAAAGTTAGAGATCAAAGGAAAGATAAAATTGAAACCTAGGTCGAGCACGACTTACCGAGTTCAGAGTTCGGCCTTGAAGCTTCGATTGGTCGAACTAGAGGGTTGTAGTCAAGAAGCCCCGACTCCAAGAGAAGYTTGTCGGTGACCAAGGTTCCGATCTTTCTGCCCTTGGGGAAGTTGTCCTTGTAGTACTTGAGAGTGTCAAAGGAGGCTTGAGCGAGCTCCGGAATCGGCTTAATCGATACTGCACAAAACAAACCAAAGTTTAAGTTAGAAGTRAAAATCAAGAAATTAAAAGGAAAGAAAACAAGATAGACTCCATACCTAAGTTCTCAAACCTAGTGGGAACATCAAAAAAGGCACGACCAGACTCGTCCTTTGCCAGCCASTCTCCCGAGGCAAAGAACCATTTTCCTACCCATCCCTTGATGGAGGTCGGCCCCTTGACTATGCCACCTGCTCCTTTCCTTGCGCACATGTAGTACCGACCAGGCTTCTTAGCTATCCTTTTGGCTTCGAAGCATCTAAGCAGTTGCTCAACACTTAATAGCTCGGCCTCGTCCTCATCCCGAGCTCGCAACCAAAAAAAGATGGCTAAAGGCAAAAATGACACCCCACCCATTGGGGGCCACTTGTGCCGGAGCCAAACCAGTTCGGTTGAGGAACTCTTGAGCAAAAGGGTGGAGAGGAAGTCTGAGACCATACTCAAACATTTTCAAGTAAAGAGCGACTCATCCCTCTGGAGGATTCTCAGCTCTTTCCCCTTCCTCCGGAATTCTAAGGAGGATGTCATTCGGGATTTTAAACCCCCTACGAAGGGGTCCAAGATAGTGCTCGGGTATCCTAGAATGGTACTCCAGACCCTGGCCCGAGGTGGAGGTATCACTATCCTCTCCATCATCTGAGAACCTAAAGTTCTCTATTTCTTCAAGCTCGGACTCTAACCTACGAGCTAAGACCTCCCCAGAATCGCTGGGCGGCGAACTACTTATGGTCCGACCCGCACTACCTATGCTATCACTACTGGAGGGGGAAGACAAGAAAACTACCATGTTTGAAAGAAGAGTAAGAGCAAGGAAAAGTGACTGACCTACAGAAAGGGTTCGAGCCGGTTTCAGATCGAACTCCAGAAATTCAGGAAACGTAAGGTTTGACCTGAAGTTTTGGGACTATTTATAGTTGATCGRAAAAACCTCTGCGCCGTACACGTGTAATCAACGAGYGGCTAGGATCTTCTCGAGATACGCAACGGCGAAACACTTGAGTGCTCCGACAACCTGGCAGGTCGAAACGTCTTYCGCAACGGTCATATTCCCTCCACAAATGAAAAGTCGCCACGTGTYCAAAATAGATTCGAAATGAACTTCTCTGCCAGGTCGAGATCGAACCTGACAGAGAGGGGGCCAATGTTTGGGGGTAAACATACCCAAGACACGTGGAGGACCCTTATTAGTATTTGAAGAAACCGAATAAGAAGGATTGCTTAGGCCCACCTCGGCCCCGCCGAGGTGGCCGGGTTCGCCCGTTATAAAAGACTAAGTATGGGCACGAAGGTTCGACCTGACTAGGGTCCGACTTGCTCGGAACCCGACAGGTCCGATATGAGAAAACGACACATAACCGCYGGTCGTGTGTACTGCGGATCCATTACCTATAAATAGAGGACTTCATTTCACGCTCAGGTATCAAATCTCACCTCGAACTAAATAAGGAGTCYGATCTATACTGACTTAAGCATCGGAGTGCTTACCCTCTTGTGCAGGTCCACTCTAGTGTTCAGGTCGGAGCCGGAGACCAGGTTCGAGCTCGATTCGTGAAGAACCGTTGTACAAATTCCTGCATAAACGGTGTTCGTATATAATGACAATAGATATATTATATATAAATCAATATACGAAAATGAAGTAAATAGAAAAATGGAATGTATGAAAGTGTATATAAAAGAGAGTAAAATTGATGTGACTAATGATGTATATTGTAAAAGAGTTCTAGTAAATAGAAACTTATATGTAGTACAACATATCAGTAGAGTAATTTATACTAAAATTGAGGGTAAATATGCCGTAAATGTATTAAAATTTAAAGAAAGTTATTAAGAGTGTAGAAAAAGATGAAAACAAATAAAACAACTCAGAAGAAAAATGAACTTAACATATACCGTGCAGGTATATAATGACAATATATAAAAGAATCAATTAATATGTTACTTATAAATCAATATATGCGAAGAGAATAGAAAAATAGAAAAGTGAGATAATCTTTGATAAGTTATTAAATTAAAGAGAATAAAATGGAGAGATAACTAATTACGTGTACATTGGAAAAAATKCATAGTAAATAGAAACTTAAAACTAGTGTAAAATAGTAGTAAAGATATATATTTAGTCAATTAAGTATTGAAAAGAAAAGAAACCCACAAAATAAATTGTAATTGCACGATCAATATATGTTAAAAGCCATAAAATATATTATGAGAAAAAACTGTCAAACAAATTAAAGGTTAAATCAAAACAAAAATTTAGGAAGAATCCAACTTAATATCTAGAATTAATTCAAAATATATATATATAATATTTCAAAATAATTCAAAATTAATCCAACTTAATATCTAGAATTAATTCAAAATATATATATATATATATATATATATATAATATTTCAAAATAATTCAAAATTAATCTATAATAGAAGAAAATGTAATTAATTGCTAGATATTGAATCCCAATAATACAGAAAATTTGATGGAGACGAACTCTAAAAATTTATAGGAACATTTGATTTGGTGGTTTTAAAAAGAAAAAAAAAAATTGTTGGGGTATAACATTGTTGCAGAGGTAAAAATGGAAAATTGAAAATTACTTGAAATCAACCGCCCTCGAAATTCCAATCATTTTCTTAAATTCAGATATTTTTTACCATTTTTTTATTTAGATGGTGTAAATATAGCCAATCCTTCAATTTCCCTCCAAGTTTATGTTTTTTTTTGAAGATGAAAGTAAAGTAATAATTACGCTAAAACATCAAGACGTTCACGAGCCAACGCTTCCAACACCTCCGCTGGCCAATCCTCATCCACACGATGAACTCTTGCCGCATCCTAGCTCTTCGCGCCAAGAGGTGAATTTATGTTACTTTTAAGGTTTTCTTGCAAATTTTATGGGCGCAGATAAAGGTTTTGATTAATTAATGAGATGGGCATTTGGCTCTAAATAATTTCCTCCCCCAAAGTTATATTAGTTACCTAAACAAATCACCCACGGTAAGAAAAAAAAATAAGAAAAGCAATAAATGACACAATATTTATAGTGGTTCACCCCAACAGTTTATGGGCTACGTACAGTGTTTCGCTCAAATGCGRATTCCACTGTAATTGAGATTGTATACAAAACACTGAAAATATCTTACCCCAATATTTGTCTCTCTAGAGGTCCTAACAAAAGTCCTCTAGCTTCGTCTATCTAGAGGTCCTAACAAAATTAAAGTATTCTAGCTTCTAAGTATTATAAACATTATACTTAGATACAGAAATGAAAACTCATAAAATAATCAAGATACAATACCTATAACATGATGATCTTGATCTCCCAATTAGTGCTGCCAATACTTGAGCCCGTCACCAGAAGCCAACTACCAAACACCCCAAAGTCGGCTGCTGCAAAAAACTCTATGCTGCTACATTGTGACGGCTCAAGAAAAACCTAAAACGGAATTGCTGCGTATTTATAATCGTCGTTACAACGCCATGGTGCTACGGACAGAAACAAACTCCGCCCGCGCCCATCAGGACAGCACCACGGCGCTGTCCCCTAGCGTCGTGGTGCCCTGCAGCAGCGCCGCGGCTTTGCTTCCTTGGCCCTCTTGGCTTGCAATGCCTCGCTTCACCTATTTTCATCCCTGCTTCGTCCCGACGTGTCCCAGCTTGATCCCGACTCTTCTTTAGATCGTTCCGACGTGAGATATCCATAAATAAATTAAAGTTTCCAAATTCATAAATTTAAGTTTTTGGATTGGAGAGTGATTTATTCATCATTAACATCATTACATAATTAGATTATAAATATCATGAACATATATGTAGTAACATCTTATACGTCCCTAGGCCATTTACATATTTGAGGCGGATGTTCTTTACTTCTAGTGCATGAAATCTTAGAGTTGGGAATGAAGTTTTCAAAGCTGGATTTTAACCATATTAGTAGAGTTTCAAATTAATAATGCTGGGGCTGATAGTCTTGCAATATTAATGGAGGCGATTTCATCCTCGGATTCTTTCCCGTGGGCTGGTTCTTTCCTCCTTTGGTTGCAAAATGTTCTATCTGAAAATCAGACTTCTCAGGTAGCCAACGTGGCAAATGTTTCCTTTTAATAATGTTTTATTTTTAGTTTAAAAAAAAAGTAACATATCTCGACAGTTTATGTTTAAAAAATCAAATAGTCAGCAATGCGAGAATATTACTAGACGAATCTTTTTTGAACTCTCTTCATCTATATCAAAAGATATAGTATACATTTATTACTCACTTTCTTTCCTTGTGGACTCTAACAGCAATACAAGAATTAGATAATAATGTGTGTGTGATGGCACTTTTTTTTGTTTTTCTTTTTTGGTGGTTTAAAGAGCAATGAGTTGCTTGACATTGAGAGCGTACGTAAATGGACCATCAAATATGTAATTGCCAAAGAGGCGATGGGCTTCTTGGGTAGGATGATAGAGATCCCAAAAGAGATGGTCGTTTCTATTTGAGCAAAATGCTGCAATTGGTAAACATGGAACATCGGCATTTAGGTTTCCAAGCCCACAACAAGCCCTTCTAATCTCTGTGAATCCTGAAATCACAAACAACATCCAACCATATTCTTCTAACAGTTAGAATAAAGGATCCATGTTAAAAGGAAAATGGACCTTATARCTTAGATACTTCTGTTGTTGTTAATGGATTTTGAGATGAAATATCATGAATATTAATATGGTATAAGAGTCCAACACGCWCAAAYGAGCATCCGGTCAAAAAAATGAGATCCAACCAAGATTAATGAGCCAATAAAGCCAYGATCTTGAGGGAGCATGTTAAAGATCTCATATTGAAAAGAAAATAAGATCTTATAAAGTTTTATAATAGTCCTAAACTACTCCTCTTATTGCCAATTGATTTTGAGATAGAATTCCATGAACATTAATAAGCTAGCGGCCGAGTGTTCAAACATCTCCTCATCCCACTAATCTTGACTACTATTTTCTTTGGTGTGTTTGAGTTGGAATAATTTCCACTTGAAGAATAGGGTACCTCAAGGGAAAAAAAAACCCTTACACCAACTAAAAAATCAACCCATGACCAATATTATCRAACATTCATGGGTTCTGATACCCATATATAACTCATTGTATCTTATATAATGCGTGAGATTCAGATTCTGATTTTTTTTTTTACCAAATGCTTTTTTGGACTCTATACCCATATTAATGAGTTTCATCTCAAAATCAATTAGTAAGAGGAGGAGTAACTCATGTATCACCTCTAGATTTTTGATCTTTTCATTGTAGATACAAGTACAGTTTAAGATCATTATAAATTCTAAACTCTATTTTGGGTAGCTTACACGTGCATAACTCATTCAGTCAAAACACTACTTACCTAAAAGATGGAAATATTGAATAAAAAGAAAAAAAAATAATAATGGGGTTACCGTAAGAGGATGGTGTGCGAATGAAGTTGGACATGACTGCATATGCATCGAAGTAGGAGAATGCAATGCCGTTGAGCTCCATTTTGAGTCTCCCAAGCATTGCTTTTAGGCCAAAGTTGTAGTGCTCCACCCACGAATTGACTTCCGCATCGCATTCGCCTGTTCGGCTCCTCTTCCTTTGCGATGGAGTGCACCCCACTAAGCCAACCCCGCCTATCACATATTTTCTTGCTCCATAGCTATATAATCGCTGCARTTCAACAATATCTGAGCTTTCAATTTCGATTGGATAACAATTTCCTTTTTTATTTTGTCCATATACKCATAAATTAATTAAATTTAACTAACTCAATAGCTTAAGTTTTTGGATTGAAGGGTGATTTATTCATCTTAACATGTCATCACATCGAGAGGTCMTGCGTTCGAACCCGTGTATTGTTGTTTCCTCTCAATTTATTATGATTTCCACTTTTTGAGTGGTAGTTTATTATCTTAAATATATTTATGTTTGAAAATTTAGCTGAGGACTCAAATGTGTTTTCAAGAGCATGAAAACCAAACTGAAGCAATGGTGAGAAATCAAGCCTAAATTATTTCTAAAACAGAAAACCAACAATGAAATTCGGGTTTTGTTTTCTATTTCATTTCAAAAAATAATAATTTAAATTTCATTTTGGTCTTGAACTTTTAAACTGTTTCTATTTTAAATCATTGTGATCATTTATGCTGTCAATTGTTTAACGAAGGATGTTTAACTTCAAATATGTATATTAATGTGCTGATATGATTCTAATAAATATGCAAATCAACTAAATAGTATACATATTTAAAGTGGTTCATCTATTAAATAACTTATGCCAAAATTACTGTGTGGACCAAATTAACTATTAACTATATTTTAAAAGTGAAAGGACTAAAATAGAGATTTTGAAAGTTTAGAAGTCAAAATACCATAAACATAAAAATTTAAAAGCTAAATAAGTATTTAAACAACATAAATAATCTCATTTGTTAAACAATTCTTTTACGTTTTTCCTAACTCCTTTTTCTTTCTCATTTTAGTCCAATTTTAAAACTTGAAGAACAAAAAAAGAGAAGGAAAAGTAAATCGATGCTCCAAGTTATATTAGATATATAAAGTGTACGAGAGAAAAATTGGTCATATTTACAAATTATTTTTCTATAAAGTAAATTTGAAATTATGACATGTTGATGTAATTTTCCTCATAAAGTAGGTTAAAACTTGATCTTCACTTTCGAAATTAGATAGTTGTTTTAAAAAGGTAAGGAAAGAGAGAAATTTTTCATTACATAGCATAAATTTTATGTGTATTTCTAAAATTGTCACTATTTTTTTCCTTTTCAAAATATACGGTACTCTCCCAAGTGTATTTTACCATACATTTTAGTTTTTTTTATAATTATGCTACTTTTATAAGATTTCAAACTATGAGTTATATTTGAGAACATTTATTCATTTGATACTATTTATATAAATATCGCAAAAAAAAAATACTATTTCTTATATAAATATAATAAAAAATAAAATCATCACCTATTCAAATTTAAATCAGTTTTGCCACACTTTTAAATATGAAATTATTAGATATCTCTCCTTTCATAGAAAAATGAGGACCATTCAAATCTCATCCCATCGACTAAGTAATCTTATTTTATTTTTGTCAAAATAATTATTTATTATTAAAATAGGTGTGAAACCAAAGCCATTCAAATTTATCAAAAAGCTTATACCTTAAGTTGCGACTCGAGGGTGGAGGCCATCAAATCTACATATTGCTGCGGGGAGTACTTTTTGCGCAGATCGGACGACTCATGATAGCCGAAGATGTCATTACTTCCAATCACAACGGTGAAGAGAGATTTCGAAAGATGTACTTGTGCCGCAGAGGATCCAAGCTCTTCGACTAGATGTTGGTACACTGACGAATAGAAGTCAATTTGTTGGCCCATGGCCACTGATTGCTTCTGAAAAAATTCATGTGAAAAAAAAAGAAATCAAATTTGTTTTCTTCATATTTTAAATGGAAAATAAATTAAAATTGGAGAAGAAATTACATATATTTATATACACACATACTTACAAAAAGATTGTTTGTTTCGTTGAAAATTCCCGCTCCTCCAGATGCGAAGCTCACGCCTGTTTTAAACGGCGTCGTGTTCGTAATCTTTCTAAACTTGGATACTAGGGAGAGATACGGTGGTGAAGTCGGTAGGCCTACTTTCTCAGCTGTTCAAAATTTCATTGATTACATCAAATTAAAATGTATATAAAAGAAAAACACACATCATCAAATATATTAGTATTTTGTAGTCTTTCTTTATGTTTTTTTTTTCTTTTTCTTTTGCCCATTAATGTGAATGGAAACTTTTCGTCATGAAGAATTATTTTGGTACTTTTAAAAGTTTTATATGTATTAATTAAATATTTTCCTGCCAAGCTAAGGGAGGTGATTTCTTGCAATTCAAAGAAAAACACATCATCCAAGACCTTATAATTAAAGGAGAATTTTCTCTCTGATAATAAGATTTATAGATATTATTTGGCATGCATTTATGATCAGTAAATAATGTTCGAGTGTTTCTGACGGTTTAAAATATATATTTTTTAGAATAATAATATTACAAAGTCAAAGTCTCAACCCATAAAAGAGGGATTTTTTTTGACATAAATAGAGGTTATTAATTTATTATCTGATTGAGTTCTGTTTAAATAATTGGTAATATTAGAAAAAAACCTTAATACATTAACTAACTAATTAATAAAATTATTGAGAGTGAGATATCATGGATTTGCTCCGTAACATTTATTTTTCTTACTTCTTCCTTTTAAAAAAAAAGTATAACTGCATTTTTCTAATTGTTTTTTTTTCTTTTTCTTTCTTTTCTGTTAGGAAAAAAAGAACAGAAATATATTTGATTGTCTTTTCTTGTATCCTGTTCTCTAGAATTTTAAATTAAATAAAATAAGTTAAAATTTTAAATTAGGTATTCAAAATTTTTATGTTATGTTTACTTTTTAAGTATTTATTATGCCTTTAATAAATTAAGAAGGATAAAATTATACTTTTTCCATATTTTGAAAAATGAAAAACAAGAATCCTATTTAAAAAATTTCTATACAATTTTAAAAATATTTTTTAAAGATGAAAAACGAGAAACAATAATAATGATCAAATATCAATGTTTTTCAAAAATTTAAAATGAATAACAAAAATAAGACGGTCCTAGTAAATTGAACTACGAGATAATTATTTAAGAAATTATGACTCAACAGAGATTATACAGGATATTATAACAATAAAATAACATAAAACATTTTCTCAAAAAAAAAAAGAAACTTAAACTTAAAGTTAAAGTAAAATTAAAAGACTAAAATAAAAGAAAATAGGTTTTACGGGTTTGGCGTAGATGGACATGAGTTCATCCCATATCATATTGTTGTCCGCGGTCTAAAACACACATATATAACTTTATTACGTGAATTTGAACTTCTAATCTCGAAAATAAAGAAATTAAGCTATACTTGCATTAGCAACTATCTAAAAACAAATAGGCAAGGGAGGGTTATTTTATTTCTTTATAAAAATATTAAGGGTTCAGATTTTGTTATAATAAAATTTACAATATTAATTAAAGATTTTAAAATAAGTATATAAAAAAGGCATGTGCCATATCTTTTACTWGAAGGAAAGGAAGAGAATTTTGATGGCATGGTAGCAACAATATAAGAAAATGGAATAATAGTACATGACAAATAGAAAACATTATTTAATTCGGTTGCCATGTCATTAAGAATAGAACCAAACCAGTGGGATGCATCATGTAACTTCTATTCACTACTTTTTATAAATAATATTCAAAGAGGGAAAAAAAAACCCAAAAATAACAGTTTCTGAAAGGAAAAAAAGACAGATAAGCATGATTTCATTAATAAAGAGTTTAATAACTTTTTCATGGGTTTTTTTAGTCAAAACAAAAATTCTCTATTCACGAACATAAAATCAGCTCAACTAATTAAGATGTGTATCTCCAACTAAAAAGTCGTTACTTTAAAAAAAAAACGTGGAGGATCAAACCAAAGTCACTCGTGTGACAAGACAAGGATAGATACTCACCTGTCCCCATGTTTTATTATAAATTTTTATTTTTAGTATATGATATCAATTGAAATATAGGTTCAAGTTTGGCACCTTTCTACATTGAATTTTCCTATTTATTTAAACTGTGATATCCTAATAACTTGTCATATTTTTATTAGGAATATAAGATATCAATTATGGTGCGAAACTTTAACCTAACTCAACTAATTAAGACATATTCCAACTAAATTTGTCCTATTTGTTTAAATCGTAGTATCTTAATCACTACGGTGCAAAACCTTAATACAACTCAACTAATTAAGACAGCATATTCTAACTAAAAGTGCGTGAGTTCAAATATGATAGAGACTAGTAGGATGTTACGTACCAAGATAGTCGGCAGCGTTCTTGCCATTAGAGAACCTTCCGGTGGGTTTAGTAGTGGGGAAGTCGATTCCATTGTGAGGGAAGTTGGCTTTGGCGAGAGAGAGCTTCAAGTGGTTGTTGTTGCCGACATCAACCAAGGAGTCTCCGAAGACATAGATTGCAGGAACTAAGGCACCACATTCACAAACTCTAAAACTGAATGATACACACAAGAAGATGAAGAAGAAGAAGAAGGCTCTGGAACCCATTTCCTTTTTCTTCAATGGAATATTGAAACTTGAAAGGGAATTTATATAGAGAGAGAGAGAGAGAGATGAGAATCCAAAATTGAGTGTGAAAATTAGAAAAAGTAAGAGAAGAAGAGGAGTATGTTGATGGGTTGGGTGGGGACCCATGTGGATATGTGTGGGGAATTTCTATTCATATTTAATAATCATTCTCTTCTGGACCAAGTTGTCCATTATTTGTCTGTTCCCATTTTCTTTCCATAACTTCTCTTCTTATTAGAGTCTAGCCTTTAGTGAAGAGAAAATGTATTTAGTAAACATGTGTTTGACACATTTAATTTTAAATATTAGTTTGGATCTTTAAAATCCAAAATTACACTAAGACAAGAAATTAAAACATGTAAAATATAATATATTATAAATTATACAAGATTATAAAATAAATATTTAGTTCGCAACTATTAGTTTACAAATATATTGTTTTCACACGTTGAACAATTTTTAAAATTAAGATTCATTTTTCAAATATGCTACCAAAAATATGTCTGAAAATACTTAAAGATATAACTATATTTTTTCATAATTTCTTATTTTTAGATTTCTACTTTCTAATCACTAACCAGACGAGCCTAGGTATTTCTTTCTATTTTTCTTTTTCCATTTGGGAGAATAAATAACATTCAAATACTATAGGCCAATATTAAACCCTGTTCAATTCATTATATAAGTTCGTTGTATCCAATCCTGAATTATATTAGTGAATTATTCACGTCTAAGTGGAAAACTGGACGTAGCCTTAGTAGTGAACCAGTATAATTTACTGTGTCGTATTCTTTACTGTTTTCTTCATATTTGCATATTATTAATTGTGTTGGATATTTTCTATGGAAGGAAAAATTATTTATATAAACCAATTTCCCAACAATTTTGACAGGCAGCCCTGCAAGGACAATATAATAATTTTAATAGTTTATTTATCGTAAAATTTTAATACGCAACAATATAATAAATTTATATGACAAAATTGATATTTTTCTTTACAAATTTAAACAACTAAATTTTAAAATATTTAACAATTGAAAAATTAAACATATTCGCTGTCCTTGTCTGTAGAGAGAATTTTCACCCGTCTCGGACTCCCAACTACTTGAATTTCTAATGAATTATTCATTTATATGTTATTTAATTTCAATATCTTTAGAACATTAGTATATACTTTGTTGTTTTAATTTTCTTGAGTATATTAAATGTGGGGTGAGGAACCAACCATCAATCTTCATAAAAATAATTGATATCCTATCTATTAAATCTTGAGCTTAACTCAACGGTAGCATTTGTCTTTCATTAAGAAGTCATGAATCTAAATTCTCCTACCCTACTTGTTGTACTTAAAAAAAATATGTTAATTTGGCTATACTTATTTTTATATTGTTTATGAAATTTTTATCATAATAAATTTAACTACAGTTATTTTAAATATCTCAAATGTTTTATTACGTTTCCAACACGATGAACTTCACAGAGGAGGAATCTAAAAGAAAAAAAACTTTACAAAGGAGGAATATAAGTCTAGCCTATAGAATGACTTGAACGTACGTCAAATAATTCGACCGTGGTCAAACATCAATAGTTCTCCTCAAAAATCACGTTCAAATATATTTCATCAACTAAAAAGTTGAAGGTTCAAATTCTGCTCCACATGTTACTGAACTAAAAACAAATCACGTAAGAACCGCATTATCTACGTCTTAAAATAAAGATAAAGATAAGAATCAAAATATTCATTTTTTTTAAAGTTTAAAATAGAAAGTTTTTTTTTAGTACAACATGTTGGGGAAGAGATTTGAACTCGCAACCTCATGGTTGGAAGTATATGTTAATTATCGCTGAGCTATGTTCGCTTTGGCGTTTCAAATAGAAAGTTTGTCAAAGGATAAAAAAAAATTATCAAAAGGAACAAAATTTGAAACTCTATGGAGTAAAATGAGATTTAAATTAAAGATTTTCTTTTTAAAATTCTTTCCAATGAATAGCAAACGTATATTGGCATGATGTTAGATTATCAATCCTACCAAAACCAGATGAGTTACAATAAAAATACTATCTATTTTTCGTATTATATTTTCAAGTAAATATATCATTTAATCACTAAAATATACACTAATTTGTAGAATTTCATCCTTGTTTTTTTAACTTTCAATTTTGTCCTTAATTTCATTTTTTTTATTCAACCTCAATTCAATAATGTCATTAAAAATTAAATAATGGAAGGATGAATAACATTTAAACATATCAATAAATTTTCTTTTAAGTGATCTCAAATTCCCATGAGTATCATACTTGCACTCTCTTGAGTGGTTTGATAATGTTGCTTGTCGTGCTGAAATAATTTGAGAGATAGGTTGAAAAGATTTTTAAATGACTCGTCACTATCATGGATTTAATTAGAAAATAAATTGAAACATGGAAGATAAATAAACTATAAAAAAATTAAGGGTAAAAAAAAAGGGAGAAAAAATAAAAAATCTCCCTTTGAATGGTAGAAACTTTTGTAATTCACTCCCTTTTTCAAGCTTCAATTTTAATAATTACAGTGCAGAATTATATGAGTTGTTACAATCATAAAATACTGTTAAATTACTGGGGTGATGCAATGATATTCTCAAGCTAATAAAACTGTTGCAATTTGTTAATTATTTAGTTTAATTGCAACAAGCTCCATAATTACTTTGGGATTACAATAATTAAAATTAAAAATTTAGGGTAAACGGTACATATGATATTGTCTGTTTTTAACATAACCATTATGACTTTACATTTAATTTTATTAAAAAAAACGTCTCATTATCGATAAAGATAAATGTCATGATTTGACAATCAACTGTTTTTTTTTAATTAAAGAAATTGCGATATTAAATTATCAATATTCAAGACTGTATGTTAATACGAGCATTGTTTAATAAATAAGATATTTTTACTTTCTTTGTAAGGTCGAAAGTTAAATCTTCACTTCCACGCCGAGTTAAAATTTGATATTTTAAAACTTCATTTTTACGACATAATTTAAATAAAATATTAAAAGACAGCAATTACTTATTTATAATTTGTTTCCCTAAAAAAAATAAAGAAAAAAGGAGACAATGTGAACGGGGAAAGTTGAGGAAGCGGCGTGCAGTCCACTAAGGGCGCACTGCCCATCACTGTCTCACTGAATTTCACGCTGAAATTTATGATCTTGTCCACATCTCCTTCCTTCCTCTGCCACAACTTTTGATTTTGCCTTTCTTTGGTTCTTATATTTTTCTATTTTGTTTGTTTTCAAATCTTAAAATTTTTCAAAATAACTAGTCAGAGTCTTTGTTATTATTTTTCCATTTTATATTTATTTACTAAATACTTGTCTCAACTAACTTATGTAGTTTTAATACCTGTACTCCAATAATGATATTGATACACATTCTAGAAATTATATTATCAATTTACTCAAAATAAAATGATAATGACTAAAATAGTTGTTTCTAAAAAATTTATAGGCTAAAATTGACATTTTAAAAGTAGGAGACTACAATTTGTGTTCATTACTACTAGGAGTAGAATGAATATATTTACACAGTGTTAATAATTATATATTCTTTTTAATTGATAGAGGAAAAATGAAAAAAGAATAAAAATGTTGCCAAAACAAGTTCTTAGAAATTGAAATAAATATTTAGCTGATGAAAGTGAAAAATAATCTTAATCTTAAAAGCTTGGGACTAAAATAAATTTTATGTGATTTTTTCCCCATTTCATTGTTATTTATCTTTCAATTTTTTCGCAAGCACTCTGAATGGAACTTCACATGCAAATTGGACTTACTGTTGGGAAAAAAATAGATAAATTAATCCTGTTGTAAGTTCTTCGAACATGAACTATTTGATTTTCCCCTTCCATAGGCTAAAAGCAGATAACTAAGTAACAATAACAAAGGAATAAGATTTAGGGATAGAAAAGCTTAACACCACACAGATTATACTGGTTCGCCCCTATCTTGGGACTACGTCTAGTCTTCTGCAAAAAAGCAGGTTCAAATATAGTTGGAAATAATACAATGGAGATCTCACTCAAGATATTACTATCTTGCTTCTAAGTACCTTAACATGTTGGGTGTGCTGCCCTAAACTCGTAGTTTGTATTTTGTAAAAAAAAATGTCTATTTAATAAAGTTTTATTCAATAAATTTGTTATTGAATCATAGCTTTGCATTATCTAAAATCCAATAAACTAAACATCCAAGGTTATTTGTGATGTAATCGGGACAGTATATATACTGGGTATATAGTTGATATACGTGGTATATATTTGATATACCCCTGATATATGAATGGATAATGTCCCGTGAATAACCTAAAAGGTCTATAGTATATGGATAAGGCTGGGTACCTTATCCTGGCAACACTATGGATACGGCCCACTCTGTAAAGGTTACAGACGACTCGATCCAGGTCGTTCGTGTGGAGACATGAGAGTGGGGGTATCCTATACAATGAGTTTGTATAAGACCGGACCACGAAATAGGCAATCTTTAGATGTAACACCGTTAACTAATAGGTTGTTATTTCTTAGGATGACCAGACAACTCATTCTCAATCCTGAGTGAGTTATGGACTCCTGCCCGTGAGGGTTCGTCCTTTGATTTGTATGGGTGAGAGTGGCCCGAGTCGCCGACTCAACATTCCTACCATTTTAGGGACGAGATCGAGTGGGGAGCTGGGAACATAACTTCACAAGATGGAATTCACTCCTCCCCGACTTTAGGGGAGTAGATG